AGTAGGATTATAGGTCATTTTCAATCATAGGTCCATATCTCCAACTTGCAAGCTTCAAATGGAAATTTGTTCAACACTAAAGTTGCTTAAAATGATGTTTTTAGTGCAACCAAGTGGTCATGAGATTTTGGTTTGGCTCATATCAAAAAGTCACTTGAAATGGTTTGAAAAGGAAGAAAATTCAAATGATGAAAGGAGGGAAAAATGTGATTTTGTGCTAAAGGCCTCAAACCAAGCAAATGGGTGCATTTTATGATTGGAAATCACATTTCAAACACTTTGGTTTTAACATAATTTTGAGTTTAGTTCAAGTTTTGAGAGATAGCATATGGTTACTTCACTTGTAAGTTACATATGCAAAATCAATGCACAAGGCAATTCAGACCAATTTCTCCATTCAAACTCATTCTAAATGACATGTGCAAGGTGTGAGAAACTTCTAGAACCAATGAAAAGCTTGCAATACACGACTGCCATAGTGAATTTTGAAGCAAAAACCAGAAATTGCAAACCACTGTTTTGGGCTTCAATTTGGATCCAAGGGCCCATAGAACTCTTCTATATATTCATTAGAGCAAGTTCAGATCAAGTTTGAGCTTCATTTTGCGCCAGAACCAGAGAGAGCATTTGAAATTTCACAGTTGCAACTTGAAATCGAATTCTGAGTTTGGAGCCAATTCAAGTAAAATTGAGGTGTGCAATCTCTTCCTTGAGGATCATTGAAGCTATCTGAAGCATTTGGAAGCAAGCCACAAGCTCTAAGTACCTCTATTTCAAGATCTATACCAGGTTTGCATCTCTCAAAATTCAGCATGATTTAGCATGATTCAGTTAGTTTTGAACTCGTGGTTAGGATCTAGACATGACATAGATCGTTTTAGGTTTGATTTGAACTCAATTGGTGATGATTGAAGATGACATGCCATGACTGTTTGGACTTGAATCTCTTGATTCTTAAGGTTTTAATGCTAGTTGCTTAGATCAGGTTGATGTACGCAACGAGATGAAGAGATCTATACCATTAATTTTGAGTTTAGCGAGAGTTGTTGATGATGCTATTTTTGAAACTTGAATCGTGTTTGACTATGTGTTGAGAATTAGAGCATTTGAATGGTAGATTTGGAATGTACATGAAAAACTGAGTGGATTTGGTTTATAGTTTGTCATTTCTGGTGATCTGAGCTTGAACCTTCACCGGAGAAGACGACCAGAGTCTTCTCCGGCCACCACCAACCACCATCCCTGATCTCCACCTGGCCTGCCTGAATTTTGGAGAAGATGATGTCTGAACCCTTAGATCTAGGTTGGACCTTTGACTGACCTGAAGATCCAACACTTGTGTTTTAATCTGAGAGTGGAGAGTTTTAATCCAAAACACTGCCGTTTCATTAAATTGCGTGGCATCATAAGGAGCGCTGGATGGGCATTGACTCGTTGACTGGCTTGCTGATCCAAAGGCTGTGTTATTTTCGTGGCTTTAATTCATTTTTTTATTTCATTTTCTTTATTTTAATTGCATTGTTATTCCAAAAATCATATAAATTCCAATTTTGATCACAAAATTATTTTAAAAATATCCTCATGATCCTTATGGAATTTATGATTTTCTGAGATTAACAAAATGCAATTTCATGCATTTTTCAATTTAATATGATTTTCCACATTTTATTTTGATCTTTATTTTTTCATTATTTATCATCTATTTTGCTGAATTTTGTTCTTCCAATTGGTGTTGAGTTTGGATTTGATTTTTTAGTATGTGTTAGGGTAGACATGTATGTTCCCTTAGAATTTTTGGTGGATTTTTAGAACAACATTAGGTTCTGTTTTAGGTGTTGAGATTAGGACCCTCCCAAACTTGTGGATTCTCTTGACCTATCTCAATGTAGGAATTGTTTAGATAATTTAGAAGTTGATTTAGGCTTCAATCTTTTTACACTAGGTTGTTACAACATGTATGTTCCCCTAGGAATGTTATTAGAATTTTGAAACTTCATTTTCTATTTTAGTTGTATTTTGCGAGTGGCTTGTATTTGTGGATTCCTCTCTTGAGTGCTTTGTTTTGTTTGGTTTGGTTGGCTGCTTTGGAGTGGGTTTAGGCTTGAGTTCTTTTTGTTTGAGCTTTTGGATTCATTGAAGAGGCTTGGGATTGAAGATTGGATTTTGGAATTGAAGCTTTCTTCTCTTTTAGGAGTTTTTTTTGGGGAGTTTAGGAAATTAGGGTTTTAGGAAGTGCCTTAGACCTAGTTTTGATTATTTCTTCAAACATAGAGTGCATTGTTTGCCTCTATTCTATCCAATGACATAAAGTCCTCTTTGGGAAGCTCCATCTCTCCTTAGGAGGGATGAATGGTATGCCCAAGTGAGTAGAATTTTGAGGATACCTTTCATTTGCAATGTTGAGTTCTTAGTGATTTCCTTTGGTTGTCATTAAGTTTCTTAACATTATAACTTAATATTGATGATTAATCCTCCTCTTGGAGTGTGCTTGATGAAGCTTGAAGATAGGATCTTGCTTGAAGTTGAAGCCTTTGCTATCAACTCTGTTGTCTATTCAACTTTGTTGTTCAGAGCTTGCTGATGTTGTTTGTTGTAGGAGTTTGTTGCTGCTGTTTGAGCTGCCTCCTCTGTGTCTCTGGTTTTGCTCTGTATGGTTTATTTGCTTGTGTTGATTACCCTTAGGTTAGATGTGGAGCTTGTCTCCTCTTGCCTGTTGTTTTCTCTCTTGCCTCTCTGGCATTGTTGCATAGCATGCCTGTTTACTGTTTACTGTTTACTATATTGCTTGCTGTCTTTTGTTGTTTATCCCTTAGGATCTATGATTTCCTCTGTGCAAGAGGAAATTATGACAGACATTAGGTTTTGACCCATGCATGATAACTGTAGGTAGATTCCTTTTCAACCATAAGCTTTTTAGAGCGTCTTTCTCCTCTCATCTCAAAACAATTCAAAAACACAGTAATAAGGATAACGCGTGCTGTACGTTACGAGCCTTAAGCTATTTGAGAAAAGGTTGCTGGAGGGTCACTCTTCAGTAATCTGGCTGCTTAGTATGGTACCCTTAGGGTGACATGCGACGTAGTCACTCTCAGATCATAAGTCTTTAGTGCAGTACAAGTTGCAAACAGACTAAAAAACATTTCTTTCGTAAAAAACTCAAACAAACATTCAAACTCTGCTTTTGTCCTCTTGGACCTTTAATCAGGAAAACCCTTTTCAGAAGGAGATAAAAACTGTCAGACAAGCTTGTGTCCTCCGTAGCCCGAACTACGTTTGCTCTGATCTTTCATGTTGTATGAAAGTACGTAGGCATAGGATGCGATGTCCTAGCGAGCAACCTTCCCCTCCTTTCCCGTAGGTAGGCGAACTACGTTGACTCTGATTTCTCGTTTCAGACGGGAATACGTAGGCATAAAGTGCGATACTTTGCCGAGTCGTTTTCTTTTCTTTAACCCAGACCTTTAGAGTAGATAGAATAACATACCCTTAGATAGAAAACAAGCGTGGATCCCGTCGAGTACGACGGACGTGAGGGGTGCTAATACCTTCCCCTTGCGTAACCGACTCCCGAATCCAGGATTTGGTTGCGATGACCATTCCTTTCCCTCTTTGCGTTAGGTTTACTCTGAGTGTTTCCTTTCCCTCTCGTGGGATAAATAACGCATGGTGGCGACTCTTCTGTCATAGCCGACGCCGATTTTCGCAGTAGCGACAACCTGCCTAATCTAAACCTACATTAAAATCTAGTTCTAATCCCAATACACCACCACATGTATCTCACGTGTATGATAGTGATGTATCATTTTCAAGTACACATACCAAACCCTCACTACATACTTTTGTACTTATATCACACAACTCACTCGTACCAAGTACAACAAATCACAGTCCTATCCCCTATGAGCTGTCAAATTCCACGGAGTCATTGTCACCTTCCTCTCTACGTGCTTATAGTGATTCTGATTAGGCTAGTGATCCATATGACATTCGTTCTACCTCAAACTCATGTGTCTACTTTGGTATTAACCTTGTGTCATGGAGCTCTAAGAAACAAGCATTGATAGCTCACTGAAGCACCAAACTAGAGTATCGTGCATTGGCATATACGACCTCAGAAGTTTTGCGGTTATAATCTATTCTCGCAAAGTTGCACATTCTTTACTTAGTTCCTACATTACTTTGTGACAACCTCAATTTTGTTATGATCTCTCACAGCCCCATATTTCATGCTAGATCGGAACATATAGAGCTTAACATTCATTTCGTATGGGAAAAGGTGGTGACATAACAACTCTTCATTTAACATGTTCTGCTCAGATAACTAATGTACTAACAAAATCATGATCTACTGCTTTGTTTTCAGACTTCGACTCAAACTCAAGGAGCATTCTTTATCTCCACCATGAGTTTGTAAGGGAGTATTAGTGATGTATAAGAGATGAAGTAGTTAAAAGTTAATTAATCATGTTATAAATGTTGTTAGCATGAGTGTGAAGTTAGTTATGTATGAATAACTAATTTCTTCATAGATTAGCTAGTATATAAGTATTGGTCATTACGTGTAAAGACTAACCATTCTGATTATAATAGTAAAACAACACTTGCACCATCTTTTTCATCTCCCCGTTATCTCATCATGAAATGGAAACTTTTTTCAATTTCTAACCTACACCACCGAGGAAGAAAATGAGACATTAATTAACCATTTGCAGAATACATCTACCTCAAGTAAGAAGTCTTTTATAGAAGTGGTCCATTCAAAAAGTAGATCACTTATTTAATTTCTTTTGATTGATACTTTTAGTTGAAATTAATTTATTTCAAAATAAAATGATATATTAAATATTAATTTGATTAAATGAGAATATTTTCATCTTTTTGAATAAAAGACTTAGGAATGGAATATGTATATACTCATATCATATATAAATACCCAACATGGCAACACATCTCCCTACCTAAACCCATAGTTTTCTCCTTCTTTCTCTTGTTCATCATCAATGGCTTTTAGCTACGAAACTTCACCTATGGCTTCCAACTACAACTCCCACAAGAAATTTCTCAACAATGGCACAAAACTCATGCACCAAACCCAAGTAGTCGTAGTGATTGTACCTTTCCCAGCCCAAGGCCATCTCAACCAACTCCTCCACCTCTCTCGTCTCATTTCATCCTACAACTTACCAATCCATTTCGTTGGCACAACTCAGCACAATCGTCAAGCCATTGTTCGTGTCCAAGGTTGGGACCCAAAATCGATTTCCAAAAATGTTCACATTCATGACTTCAAAGTTCCAACCTTTATCTCACCTCCTCCAAACCCAAATGCGAAATCTAGATTTCCGTCTCATCTTTTTCCTTCCTTTGAAGCTTCCTCTAATCTTCGTGAACATGTAGCTACGCTTTTGCACTCTCTTTCTTCCGTTGCTAAAAGGGTTGTTGTCATTTATGACTCTCTTATGGCTTCTTGTGTGCAAGATGCTATTCATATAAAGAACTGTGAAACTTACACTTTTCATAGTGTTTCTGCTTTTACCATGTTTTTGTATTTTTGGGATTTAATGGGAAAGCCTGAAGTGGAAAAAACCAAAAACATTATTCCAGAAAAAGTTCCTTCTTTAGAAGGATGTTTCACTACCCAATTCATAGATTTCATTACTTCACAATATGAGTTTCATAAATTCAGCAATGGAATAATCTACAACACAACTAGGGTAATTGAAAAGCCTTATTTGGAGTTAATAGCAAGCATGATTAGTAACAAAACTCATTGGGCTTTAGGCCCATTTAACCCTTTATGTATGGAGAGAAAAAGCAACAATAAAGGTAGACACTTTAGCTTGGAGTGGCTTGATAAGCAAAAGGGTAAATCAGTCATTTATGTATCTTTTGGTACCACAACAGCTTTCAAAGAGGAACAAATCATAGAGCTTGCAAAAGGGTTGGAACAAAGTGACCAAAAATTTATTTGGGTTTTAAGAGATGCTGATAGAGGTGATGTTTTCAATGAAGATTGTGTTAGAAGAGTCATTGAGTTACCAAAAGGGTTTGAAGAAAGGGTTGAGATGAAAGGTGTTGGGCTTATTGTGAGGGATTGGGCCCCACAATTGGAGATTCTAAGTCATTCTTCAATAGGTGGGTTTATGAGTCATTGTGGATGGAATTCTTGTATGGAGAGTATAACTATGGGGGTGCCAATAGCAACATGGCCTATGCATTCTGACCAACCGAGGAACAGAGTTTTGGTGACTGAAATCCTTAAAGTTGGGTTGGTTGTGAGGGATTGGGCTCATAGAGATGAGTTGGTGATGGCTTGTGTTGTGGAGAATGTGGTGAGAAAGTTGATGGCAACAAAGGAAGGTGATGAAATGAGGCAAAATGCAATGAATTTGAAAAATGAAATTCTTGAGTCAATGGATGAAAATGGTGTCTCTCGTATGGAATTGGATTCTTTCATTGCCCATGTGACTAGGTAGATTGTTGTTGGACCAATGTTCATTCTCATAGGTTAATTATGCATGTTGATCAATGTTGAAATCATGTTGTTTTTAATGAAGCACATGTGGTTTTCTTACATGGGTTATTTTTCTTCCTTTCTCATATCAATCTTACACATTTTCTCTCCTTTAGTTTATGTTTTTCCATTTGTTATATTCTTTGCTAGGACCAGATAGTGACATTCAAATCAATTGTCATTTTAATCTAACTAACACTCTCGACAACAACTTTGGTATATATGGATATTTGTTTGAACCCGTATTGTGTTTTGATGGTCTTATTTGAAAGAATTCAAGTATGTTTTTCCCGATTATAAGAGACGGAGAGATAAAATATATAATGAGATTATTAATATCGACCCCGAACGAGATAGAATTTAAATTTAACTATTTATTTCTGTTTGAGTTTGAAACGAAAAACGAGAATTTATCAAAGAGATAAATTTAGATATGGAAAAGGTAAAAACAGTCTCAGTTTTGCCTAATTATCATGTCTACTTTTGACTATAAATTTATTAAATGATATTCATTGTTTATAATTTTACTAAGAATAATGTTTTGTTAATTGGATCGGTGAGAGTACTAAGTTACTAATTCATTGGTCAAACTATTGAGTTATTAATCGAATTGCATAACTAAATCGGATTAAATCGGATAATTCGATTGAATTAATTGATCACTATAATAAAATTTTATATTTATTAAATCGGTCAAATCGGAGAACTCGGTCTCTAAAAAATATCACGACACTTATAAAATTTTAAAATTTCAAAAAATCATAGCTTCACAAGTTCATTCTTTAAATTCAAATGCTAAATGTAGTTATCACACGCAACAGAAAAATACAAAATACAAATCCAAATGAATTTTGAACAAAGTTTAATTGCAAAAGAAGAAAAATTGTTTAAAATAAGTTTTGAACAAAGTTTATTTATATTTTAATTTAATTTTTTTTAATTATCAAAACAACCTCGTTTTGTCTGAAGAAAAAAAAGACATACATTTAATCGGTCAGTTTTTCAAAATTTCTAGTTCTTACGTGATGATATGCATCTAAACATAGACTAAGACTTTATTTAAGAGTTTGAAAAGAAGGAGAATAGAGGACTTCAAAAAAAATTTTAATATATAAAAAAAAATTTAATATATAAAAAAAAATTATAATAATAAAATAATTATTATAAATTATATAACAACAAAAATTATATTTAAATAATTTAATTAAGTCTAAGTATGAAACTTTTTTTATGTTAGGAATAAACACAAACCTTCCAAAATCCTACAAGATATTTGATCAATGTAATCAGTTTTTAATCGCTATGAGTTGTGTATAACTACTATTCAACAGATGAGACATGATTACTAATAGAGCAAAATTTGGCAAAAGAAAAATAGCAGAAAAGTGATAACATGAGCAAAAACTCTCATGAATTAATATATACTATTATCATTATCAACAATAATTAGTCAATTTTCATGCCTCACATTATAGTTACAGAAGGAGGTGTACTTTTCATCAAACTGCCTAATCATCTGTTTAACAAAATTAAAGATATGAGTCTCACATCAGATAATATATAATATAAACACCTCTTATAATTGTTAGCAATTTTCACTCTACAAACCAGTTTTATACAGTTGAATTAGACCAAACAACATTTTGTAACATTTACAACAAGAACAGTTGACTTTGTTAAGCTTTGACCTTCCAAGAAATCAATGGATAAGAAATTGTCACATCATATTGGACAACTTTAGGGTGATGGATTGTGTCTCCATTGACTTTTGCCGGTTAATGATATTTGGATACTATTATAAAGGAAGAGTATCAACTATCAATGGATAGCTTTATCTTCATTTTTCGATCCTTTGATTCACTAATTACTTATCACTATGCAATGAATTTGAATAATGAAATTCTTGAGTCAATGGATGAAAATGGTGTCTCTCGTATGGAATTGGATTCTTCCATTGCCCATGTGACTAGAGATTGTTGTTTGACCAATCACTCATTCTCACAAGGTTAATTATGCATGTTGATCAATGTTGAAAGCATGTTGTTTTTAATGAAGCACATGTTGTTTTCTTACATGCGTTTTTTTCTTCTTCCTTTCTCACATCAATCTTACACATTTTCTCTCCTTTGATTTATGTTTTCCCATTTGATATTCTTTGCAAGGACTGGATAGTGTGGCATTCAAATCAATTGTCATGATCCAACCACTATTCATAACCTTGACAACAAAACGAGTAAATGTATTTTTCTATTTGAATCTGTTTCTGGTATGACGATTCATTTCGAATAAAATTAATTTTTTTTTCGTTTTTAAAAGATGAGAATATTAATATCTTTCTCGAATTAGTCTTTCAAGCGCCGTATTGATAATTTATAATATTATTATAGGTTTGAGAAAATAAATTATTTTAATTAAAAATAATAATTTTAGTATGAAAATAGAACAAAACGGAAATACTCGAACGAGATAAATTTAAGTTGAATTATTTATTTTTGTTTGAGTTTGAAATGAGAATCGAAAATCTGTCATAGAGATGAATTTGGAGATGAGGAATGTAAAAACATTCTTCATTCTATCTAATTATCATACCTTTTGATTAGGAAATTAGTGAGTTTATTGATTTGCTATCGATATAATCAGACGATATATTATTGATAACGATTTGCATTTTTATTTTCTCATCTATTACTAATTGTTGTTCTAACAAAATGAAAACTAAATTCATTTATCTAACAATTATCTAAATACAAATTTATCCAATCATCTACTACTTAATAAATATGTTAAACAATTAGATTTATCTATCTATTTAAAAATATGAATGAATTTTATTTATTCAATATTTTTTAAAATTCAGTCCTTCATTTTACTTTTCTGTAGTGGTATAAATGGGAAAGATTTCGAGGGTGGGGCAAAGGGCACACGCGTAGCCCCTCGTCTGTCCCATATCTCCCTTTCATTAGCTCGAGCGCACTCCTCTCGTTTTAAGCATCTTTTATTCAGATGTATTGCTCTAATCTTTAACGTTTTTCCTCATAGTGTGTGAATATGTATGGGATCAACAAACGTTGCATAAGGGGTCGTGATATTCAACTTTGCTTCCTAGATTTCAGAAAATCAACCACCAATTCTTAGAGTGGTTGTTAAATTATAGGAAGACCCATGTGACTATAAATGGATTAGTGTCATGATACTCGGGGGAGATCCTAACAACAACACTGAAACTCACAGATACAATAACTTATCACCCCACGTAAGCTAGTTATCATTACCGTAACAATCCTAAACATTACTATGGAAAACACTTATCACAACGGTTGAAAAAGAGATACCACCACGCCGGACCAACCGTTGTGAGGTAAGGTGTGGTTGTATGTATGATGTTTTCCATCGCGGTCGTGTGGCCGTGATTATAAGTCAAGTAGTGCACTACTTACTATAATGGTTACTTTAAACAACCGTTGTTGTTTGTCCAACCTATCACAACGGTTACTTTAAACAAACGTTGTTGTATGTCTTTTAATAAAATAAAAAATGCATTGGTAGAACAACAACAATAGCAAGAACAATAAGAACAAAAACAAGAACTACAACAAGAACAAGAACAAAAAAAAAACATCAAAAACAACAACAACAACAACAACAACAACAATAACAACAACAACAACAACAACAACAATAACAATAATAATAACAACAAGAGCAACAACAAGAACTATAAAAATAATAACAAGAACAACAATAACAACAACAATAATAGCAACAAAAAGAACAACAAGAATAACAACAAGCACAAAAACAAACTAACATTGATAACTTGAATCCATGTTTTCCTTGTCTCATTCAAGTTGGAGAAGAAGTGATGGAGTTATGAAATTTGTTAATGAAAGAAATGACGTTTTCGAGTTTTATTTATGGAAGAAATGATGTTTCCGAGCTTGATTTAGTGGAGAAATAGAGTGTTGTAAATGGAAGAAGATGTTTGGAGGTAGAAGATGAAGTTCATCTAAGTTGGAAGTTCATCTAAGTCTTAGGTTTCACGCGGATCACTAGTGGTATTGTCTTGAGCATTGATACTCACTAAATGAACGACAAAGATTTGTTTAAGAATGGTGAAAAAAACTCAATAAACACGCTTACTTTAATAAAAATAAAACTTCACGCGGATCATTAATGGTATTGTTTTGAGCGTTGATACTCACTAAATAGACGGCAAATATTTGTTTAAGAACGGTGAAAAAGCTCAAAAAAAACACGCTTACTTTAATAAAATAAATTAAAATAAAATGGTACCTATCACAACGGTTACTTTAAACAACCGTTGTTGTATGTCTCAACCTATCACAACGATTACTTTAAGTGACCATTATTATATGTCTTTTAATAAATAAATAAATAAAAATTGTAGGTGGTAGGATTCAGACTCATGACCAGACGTCACTTTTCACCACGGTTGGAAGTTTCAACCGTGGTGAAAAGTGGCTTACAGATAAATAAATAAATAAATAAAAACTGTAGGTGCTAGGATTCGAACGCATGACCGGACACCACTTTTCACCACGGTTGGTACCTATGACCGTTGTGAAATGTCCTTTAGTAAATACAAAAAAAGAAAAAGCGCCAAAAAAAAATTATTATAACGGTTAACAGGAAGATCGTTGTAAAATGGGTGTTTTGAAATGTTTATTTCGTAGTAGTGAAAGCATCTGACATCCCTTATCCACTAGGGGTTGTCAAACATTTGTACTTTTAGCAAGTACAATTGGCGTCCACGGTGGGGTTGTTCGCACGTGATTTTCGCGCGAATAACCTCTGACCTTCCTACGCGGATTTACTTGCGGGACTGGCTAAACTAGTCCCAGGACGGTTTTAGTTTCAGGTGAGTTGTTTGCTTGGATTATGGTGCACTTTAACGGTTATAGATTTCACAGTTTATACTCTGACTAACTTGAAAATTAATAA